TGTGCAGTGGCAATACATAGGAGGTGCATGGGGGTGCACATTTCCCCCACCCCGAGAGTGCCGGCTGGAGAGCAGGGGCACCAGGAGAAGCAATCCCCATGGGCCCTCCACGGCCGATTGTGCCCACCAGGAAATGTCAGCTTCTGGGGGGGGCAAGTGCCCCCCAACTCAGGAGGCACCAGTTGCCCATGAGGCTGTGTTTGACTCTTCCTATCACTATGAGGTCAAGTATCTGACTCAGAGCTACACTTTAGATGGCTCTGTCATTGTGCTTCAGAAGATGCAGTGGGGAGGTACCTAGCTTAGAGACAAAAAATGTTGGGCCCAGACATCATTGTTTTCACATTTTTACAGATTCTAATTTGGTTTATAAACAAAATTGATATTGGCTGTGCATAATGCTGCTGCTCTTCAGCAGTGGACCTTTTCAGTCAAATCTGGGTTCTAGGTCTTCCTCCACTTGAGGATACTTAAACTTACATTTCTCAATTCCCAGATGAAGACCCCAGTGACCAGGTTATAATGTAGACTAGGCAAAGCTGAGCCACAAAGCAGTCAAGAGTGCAAGATTCATTGAGGCAGGTAGAGAGCAAAGAAGTGAGAATACAGCTTTGTATGCCAGTTTTCCCTTTGCGGGGGTGGGGGAGCGCAATTTTGTAGGGAATTTTCCCCAGTGGCGTACCATGGGTCTCCGGAGCCCGGGGGCTGATGCTTGCATTTGCGCCTCCCCTTCCCCCACTGCGGCAAATCGCAGTGCGGGGTGAGGGATGGTCCCCTGGCAGCCGATCACTGAGCGGGGAAGGGTCCCCCAGTGTCCAATCACCGAGCCTGGAAGTATCAGCGGCAAAACCGTAAGTGCTGGCGGAGGACCGAGTACTCCCTAGAGGGCCCCCACCATCAGTACACCACTGATTTTTCCTTAGAAGTAGGAAGAATTCTACGTTCTGGTCCCTGCTACCAGGTTTATTTCTGTGGGTTGTTTTTGTTTTGTTTGTTTTGTTTTTTTCATAGAATCATAGAAGTAGGATCAGAAGGGACCTTGTAGATCTTCAAGTCTGACCCCCTGCCTGGACAGGAGGAAAACTGGGCTCAAGTGACCCCAGCCAAGTAGGCATCGAGCCACTTCTTAAAGACCCCCAGGGTAGGAGCCAGCACCACTTCCCTTGGAAGTTGGTTCCAGATCCTAGCCGCCCTAACTGT